AGTCTGGAAAGGAATTGCTTACACAGACAGACGAGATGAAATAGCCATTTCTTCTCAAGCTATTATTCGAGAATAGGGTATTCAATTGTAAAGCGGGATCCCTTCAGTTTGGATCGAACTCCACAAGTTCTTTTTCTTTGGCGTCTAGCCCTTATCTTTTTCGGAGTCAAATTCCTTACCTTTCAAACCAAAGCTTCAGCCTTGTGATTGAATAAATCCTCCTCTATCGGTTGCGGGTCGAGGACTCCTCCTTATTCAAAGGTCTTGTTTGGAAAATGGCCTTTAGTTGTTGCCATTAGTCGGTTATGTCAGCTGTTTTCTAAAAGCTGGTTGTATTAGCTGTTTTGATTGACGAATTATGTTAGCTGACTATAAATAATTGTTTAGTAAAATTGGTTGTTTCAAAATGACTGATAGAGTGTAACTCATCTAAAAGAATGAAAGAAGCCAATCTAAAAAGTTGCCCCCTGGCTTTTCCTACCAGCCATTTTTTCAGCTTTTCGGACTCAACAAGCCAATCTAAAAAGCTATTTACCAAACATAAATATTGATTGCTTTGACTAATGAAACAACTAAATTTGGTCAAACAAGCTAAAAGTTGGCCGATAAGCCATTTGCCAAACATACCAAAGGCCTTGTTTGGCAATCGGTTGTTAGCTTTAGCTGTTAGCTGGTTATGTCAGGTGTTTGATCACAGCTGGTTGAGTTAGCTGTTTTGATTGGCTGGTTATGTTAGCTTGTTGTTAATAAACGTTTGGTAAAATTAGCTGTTATGGAATAGCCGTTTGAATGTAAAAAGACTTATAAGGACATGAGTGTATATATAATATTTGAGTAATGCTAATAGTGATAATGTTTAAAACTATAATTTATTTGCAAAATAAATTATTTAAGCAAAACAATACTCCGTATTTTATTTGAAATGTTAAAAGAATAAATTAAATTCTAAAATAAAAGTATAATAAATATTAACAAATAAATATTTTAGAAAGAAATAAGATGACTTTATATTGCAAATTAAAAAAACATCAATAGCGTTCAAAGAAAGTTTGAATATATAGGAGTGGTTCCGTTTTCGGAATACCTGGGCTGGAGTCTTGGGAAGTAATGAAGATCTTTCTTCCTTGACCATTTCTCTGATTTTGGTAGCTTATTGTTTTCTGATATACTACAAAGAATGGGGAAAAAACAGAAGAAGAAGAAGCAGAAAGGCAATTAAATTAATCGGAAATTAAAAAATTTTGGGGAAAAAATCAGAAGAAGAAAAATCAAGCAAGAAAGTTACGTACCTTTGTTATTTGGCGAAGAAGAAAGACGGTTGAGAAAATGGAGATGCACAGCGGGGTATAGACGGCAAAAAAAAATGGATAAGCCGAAATAAAACCTAAACGCTGGGTGGTCTGGCGTTTCAAAAATCGGCTTCTTCGCATCGATAAGCCGAATGGACAAGCTGATTACCAAACAACATTTTTGGCTTTTTAACCTAGTCAAACATCTATTTTGAGTCAAACAAGCTAAAAAACGGCCGATAAGCCGTTTACCAAACAACCCCAAAATGTGATATCAGGAGTCCAAAGTTGTTAAAATCTCGATTTAAATTGTGAAATCGTACGATTTTACGATTCAACATTAATAAATCGATTCAAATCGCAGGTAAAATCGTAAAATCATAAAATCGTACAAAATCGTAAAAAATCGTACAAAAATCGTGTAGAATCGTTTAAAATCGTAGCAAAATTGTAATAAGTTTTTTTAGTGAAAATTATTCAAATTTATTAAGATTAACTACTACAAATTGATACATAATTACAATAATAATAATATCAATAGTATATTTTAAAAAGTAATTGAATCCTTTGTTATTTAATTATTCTTATGTTTTACATATGTTTACTGTTATTATTCACTACATTTACATTATTAAAATAGTTTATATGTCTTGTTTTAAACCTTGTTTGTATAGTTTTATATAATGAAATGATATAATATCATTAACTTGAAACTTAATATTAATATTTATTTATTTTATAATTATTAAGATATGTTTAGTAAAATCTTACGATTTGCGATTCGATTTTACGATCTAATTTTCAAAAACATCTACCGATTCGATTCAAAAATACGATTTTAACAACTTTGATCAGGAGACTTGCTTGGTTAGGTTGTGCGGCACAGGAAAGAAGGAGAATGGGCGAGGCTTTTCTGCATGCAAGGAAATTACATTTTAGCCCTAGATAGATGGGAGAAGTCTTTCTCTCTCATACGTAGTGCCTTTAAGTATAATATAAAGAAAAGATAAATATAAAGATAAAGATAAAGATAAAGATAAAGATATACTCTCCTTAGGCTACCCGCAATGTAAGGGGTGAAAACCCCATATTTAAAGTTTTCACTCCAAGAATGGTGCAACCCAAACAAAAAAAAAAGTAGAAGAAGGAGCTATTGTGGATTGGGAGAACCTTGGGGAGGGGAATTAGGACACTGGAGGCTGGATCGCCCCAAGAGAGAGAGGGAGGTGATAGCCGAAGGTTAGGAAAATGTGAGGGGTCCACATTAAATTAAAATCTCAATTTTGTTCCTCGCAAAAAAAATCTCAATTTTGTTAAAAATAGCGTAACTTTTTTATTTGAAATCCAACTTTTTTAGATAATATATCAAAATTCATAATTTTTTACGATCTTTCATATATAAAGCTTTTTTAAAAATATGAAGTTTTATTTGATGGAGAGATTTTCAGGCCTAATTTTTTTCTTAAGTAGATATAAGTTCTAATATTAACGTCACATAGTAAAATGTTGTGTTTACATATTTCAGTTATTTTTTTAAGAAATAGTTCTAAAGAAACAATAAAAAATTAAAATCCAAATTTATTTATTTTTATATCGGAATGTATGTTTTTTTTAATTATAGTTATTCAAGAAAAAATTGTTTGTGAGAAATTGGTGTATAATAATAAAAGAGAAAGTTTAGTTAAGAAAAACTTTATTGGGTGAATATATTGACGATGTTGGGTTGCGGAAAAAAACTGAATTGACTGATTGAATACGTATAAACTGGTAAGAGATTTGATTTATTGACGGAGAGGGTTGCAGTTAGCCTTAGAGCTTCTTGTAATTCCAAATCAATATTTCATTCTTCTTCTTACCAGCTCATAATCTTTCTAAATAATACTCTCTCCGTTCTAAATTAATTTGGAAAGTCAACCTTTTTTTATCAATCAATGTAAAAATTAAATCTTTCATATTGTTATTTAATTCAATTTTTAATAATAAAAAATTTACATATTCAAAAAACTACATTAAAATCTCTTCAAAGTTGCAAACTCCAAATTAGAATATAGTTAAAAAATGACATTCTAATTAAGTGAATAAAATGAAACTGTTAGATTAAGAAAAATCAATTTTGCAAATCAATTAGTAGATCAAGTACATTTGTTTTTTATGTTATTACATTTTCAATCACTTTATTAATTAGGATGTTTTTGGTTGTGTGGTCCGGTCTTAAATAAAAAGGGATGAAGTAGTAGTAATTAAGGACACGTTTACTTCACGGGTTAGTAAACGGTGCTTATTAAGACTCACGTTAATAAGCGGCGCATGAAATAAGCAGTGTTGTAAGCTCATGTTTACTTCAAAGGATTTAAAACACCGTTTAACATTAAAATGTCCAAAATAATCCTATAGATATATACACACACAAACATTCATGAACACAAATATATAATATAATATGTGGGGTCACCTCGTACGCTTAGTCACTTACCCACACTCCTACTCCCTACCCGCCATGTACCCCCACCCCTCACCCTATCCCCAATTCCACACCCTTGATCCCACACATTCCCTACCCTTACCACAACCTTACCCTCCACCCCTACTCCCACCCATACCAACCCCCACCTTACTCGTATGGGTTGGGTCAAAGTAGGGGCAGGTGATATTGGGTAAAGGGGTAGGGTCGAGGTAAGGGGTACAAGTGGGGGTAGGGTCGGGCTAGGGTCGGGGTAGAGAAGGGGGTAGGGGTTGGGGTTGGGGTTGGGGTCGAGTCAAGGTAGGGGAAGGTGGTAGGGGGTGAGGGGTGGGGGTGGGGTAGGGGCAGGTGGTGGAGGGTAGGGTAGGGGGTAGGGTAAGGTGGTGGGGGAGGGGGAGGGATTGGGGTGGGGTCGAAGTAGGGGCAGGTGGGAAGGTAGGGTCAGGGGTAGGATAAAGGTAAGGAGTACTAGTTGGGGGTGGGGTATGGTCGGGTCAAGAGTGGGGTCGGGGTGGGGTCGGGGTGGGGCAGGTGGTAGGGTAAAAGGGTAGGGTCGAGGTAAGGGATACAAGTGGGGGTGGGGGGTAAGGTCGGGTAGGGAAGGGGGGTGGGGTGTGGTCGGTGGTCGGATCAAGGTAGGGGAAGGTGGTAGGGGGTAAAGGGGTAGGGTAAGGGGTGAGGGTGGGGTGGGGTAGCGCAGGTGGTGGAGGGTTGCATCGGGGGTAGGGGTAAGGTGGGGGTGGGGTATGGTCGGGTCAAGGGTGGGGGTGGGGGTGGGGGTCGGGGTAAGGTAGGGTAGGGCGGGGTAGTGTGGTAGCAATAGGGTAAGGGCAAGGGGTAAAAGTAAGGGTAAATTCGAAAATGAAAAAGCTTAAAGTGACGCTTAATTAATACACAGGGGTGGTATGCTCAGTAAGCGCCACTTTAAGCACCTCTTTCGCTTAGTAATCAGCGTTTTAAGCAACTTGCGTTTTTATTTTACCTGTCTTACTAACCTAACTGTCACTTTAGCTGCGAATTAAACTCCTCCTAAGTAAGCATTTTGAACATAATTAAACTATGGTGACAACTCCGGTACCTTTCTAAAAAATGGGGGTACCGTACTTATCATTCATTTGATTGGACCACATCACTTTATCATTTTTAATTTAAATTTAAATAATTCAACTGCTACATTTTCAATCATTTTTAATTTAGATTTAAATAATTCAACTCCTACATTTTCACGGGTGGACAAAGTTAGGTAGAGTAGAATCTAGTTAAACTATTCATCCTCATTGTATTTTCACCTCAACCCTTGTCTCCGAGAAAGCAGAAAGCAGCATCCACTCTTAACCCTGGAAGCAGCATTCTTTCCGCAATTGACTGTTAAGCCTCCTCTCCTCCATTCTAAATTCACATTGTTCCGTCCTCTGCCCCTGTCCATTTTCACTCACGGTAAAGTTTTTCCCCTTCTGTTGGTTTGTTTCTCAAAAAAGTCCCACTAACTAAATATACAGAGTTTATGTTTGAAGAGTATATAGAAGAAGTGAAGAAGAGAACAGCAAATGTCCAAAATCTTACGAGTGGATGAATCCAATGAAAAACATTAATAAATCATTTGAATTTTGAACCAATAAAAACTGACTTTGTGACTTGATGACTCGATTCGTAAAATTGAAATTTATTCATAATGCATTTAGAACGTATCTGTCTGTTTGGATAAGGTAAACTTAAGTAAACTCTGATCCTGTAAAAATTGGGTAAAACACTGAAAATTGTTGCAGACAGAGAAATATAGTTTGGAATATTATTAGCTCAAACTGGTTAAACCTAATTCAGAATCCTAATTTCATCCAAAAGCAATGCCACTTTTGAGCAAACAGCTTCTCTTTCAACCGTACTGTTATATAAACTGAGATTTTATATAATTGTTTCTGTTTTATAATGCCGTTTAATGCTTTCTGCTGTTTTACAATATTTTTTTGTTCGGTCATATTGTATGATAATACTTGCGGTTTGGTCATATTCTATCTTATTGTAAGCAGTAGTTTACTGTACCCATGATCACATAAGGTTTGCAGTAAACTATGTAATCTCAGTTTAAATTTGACCATAGTTTATAAACTCCCTTCATGTGATTGTCAGCTTAAATTGCCTACTACTGTGTTCACTCTTATTGATATTTGTTTCCTAATGTTCCAAAATGTCCCTATAGTTTGCCAAAGTAGAACCAACCAATCACACGATATATTTTATTTAAGTAGATATTGAACATTATAGAACAAAGTAGTCATAGTGTTTTTAGTGAATATGATGTGTGGATGCTTATAACTGACTTGGGTGTGACCGTGTGATGGACCTATTGAGTTGCTATCACCTCTTGTGTACCAATGAATCCAAAGAAGAAACTTTGGGCTTCCATGAAGATGGCTGAAGCATGGGTACAATGATGAGTGGTCACAATTAATGCTAAAGAACTGTTAGAATTTTGTTACTCTATTAGTACTCATTTTGGGGCCATTAGGAAATCTGGTTAGACAAGCCTAAAATCTACCCTACTTCCTCTCTCTTTCTCATCACTTCTAAGTTCTACCCTTCACTCTCTCCATCTGAACAGTGCAGATAAAGTTATTCTAATTAACCAATAAATAACACTTCTAAGAAGAAAATTATAAAATTAATGAGGTTTGTTTAAATTTTATTTCATGTATAATCCGTGTCAAACAGTCTCTTACTAAATATTTATTGTTGATGACAGGGAGGCACACAAGTTCGAAAAGAATTTGGAGTGGGAATAGGGAAGGATGGAGCATATGTTACTTTGTTGAAAGACAAGCTTTCACTTTACTCTGAACATCATTACCCCTCTTCATTTAATCAGTTTCTAAATATATCTGTTGTATATACCCAAAGAAACCAAAGATAATCTTATGATTTCAATATCATTATCCTCATCTTTGTGTCCAGCTACACCTCATCATCATAGACCTATACTGCATATCTATTCACAACATTTGAGCTCTCTCTTTTGTTCTTTCTTTCCTAAAAGCCAATGCCCCTCACTCTCTGCCACGCCTTTAAGTAAGGGAAAAGTTTTTGCAGTTGCCTTTGAGGATGGTTTGGAGAAAAACTGGTCATTTCTCGACACCCACTGTGATCACTCTAATGAAGAAGAACATAAACAAAAGTTTGACAAAATTATAACCGCTGCAGGGATTTCAGAGAATTCAAAGGTTTTAATTTCAATAAGTTCTGATGAATTTGTGGATAGTGTGGTTGATTTGTCACCTAGCCAAGAAATTCTTGTAGTTCATGATTCTCTCTCTGCATTAGCATGCATCAAGGAGAAACATGACTATGTTAAATGTTGGCAAGGGGAACTGATAAATGTACCAGAAAATTGGGCACCTTTTGATGTAGTCTTTCTCTACTTCCTTCCTGGGATTCCCTTTGTGCTTAGTCAAGTTTTGGAAGCACTTGGGAAGATATCTATGCCAGGTATTATTATGCGATATCATTTACCATTGATTCATATCCATAAATTATAATGCTTTCCAATTTCCACAATGATATAAAAAAGCATTTGATCTGGTGCTTGTCAGAATGAACACAACCATACGTGGGTGTCTAGCGTATGCTTGCATTGAAGTATATGGTATGTAGAGGGAAAAAATGCCAAGGAGTGATTAATGTTTTACTTTTGAAAAATGTATTATGATTAACGTTTTCTAAAACATTACATATATGGGTAGAGAATCTAGAGATAAGGTCTGGTTGCATATATTTCATCCTCTCCACATACCATACTCGAAGGAGGCTTATTAGTATATTTGGTTGGATTTGGTTTGGTTTTACGCACATTTAGATTCTTAGATTGTTAGTCTTTATATAATAGAGGTAGATATATAAAATGATTTTGCAGGAATATAAAAATATTTTCATGAGTATTGTACTCCAAGTTTTCTTTCCTTGCAAATTTTTCTTTATTTCCCGCCATGGTAATTTTCAGCATACCAAACAAAACCCCGTAACACTTCTTGCTTAAATTGTTCATATGCTAAGATTTATGTTACAATTTGTGGTCAAGGTACAACTCTACTAATGGTCAAGGAAATGCTCTATCCATTAAAAAGGAAAAAAAGCATTATGTAGAGGATGTGCATTATGATGCCTGACAGTATACTAAACACTTTGTAGGTGCCAGAATTGTGATAAGTCATCCCCAAGGCAGGCAAATGGTTGAAGTACAACGAAAACAATTCCCCAACTTAATAGTCTCAGACCTGCCAGACAGGGCAACACTTCAAAGGGTTGCTGCTGAGAAATCATTTGAAATCCATAGCTTTATCGATGAAATTGCATTTTATCTTGCTGTTCTAAAATTCAATGGAGTGGCTTGATTTGCAATATCTTCCGCTCAAACAGATTTAGCCTCTCCTTGATTTATAATCTAGATATTCTTTATCGAAGGATTTGTGTGATTTCCCTCACCAGTCATTGAACCTGATTTTATGTGACATAAACTAGATATTTAAAATGGCCGGCTTCGGTTCCAGTTTCAGGTAGAGGTAGGGAGGAATTGGAACCTTAACTAAGTAAATTAGTTCCAGTTCTAACCTGTTTTGGTCCATTTCTAGTTCCGGTTTTTTTAATACAACAACAATAACATCAAAACCTTAGTTCTAAAAGAGTTTGTGGTCGGCTAACGGGATCAACATAAGCAACTAGAGCTAAAAAGATAAAAAAATTAGATAAAGCTAAAAATAGAAGATAAAAAAGCTATGATTATATGAATATGTTTAGGTCCTAGTTTTGGGCAACCAACATCGATCTTTACCTGCTCGGTTATGTATTTGACACTAGGGCCATCGGGTTTAAAAGTTGAATAAGCGTGTGGAGGAGATGGAGCCATGGAGGGTTTAAAAAATATTATAAATAATCAAGAATTGACCATGACCAACATTGGAGGGTGGTCTTGAATTGAGAAAAGTGTCACATGAGTGCATGATAATATGATATTGTAAGTTGTGGAGTAAATGTGATTCAGATGTACATAAAGTCAGAAAATCGATGTTAATTCAATACGACCCTGTATTAGCCCGTTAAAAACACTGACTTCGCAAACTAATTAGTGATATGGCAAAACAAAAGCCCACCTTATCAGTCTGAATGTAATACAAAGCAGGAAAGAAGGAAAAAATTGTTCGTTACGGGGAAATTTTTGAATCAAAGCATGAGAGAGTGGAAAATTTGTGGAGATTAATGTCGCCTCTTCCAGTCGCAAGAAACAGCCTTCGACTTCGTCTATTAGAATCTGCCCTCACTGCCTGAAAGACAGACTTTTGAAGCTCGTCTGCGCGGATTGGGTAGAACATCGACTCACTTTGTGTTCTTGCTCTGATTGATACTATCGCTTCTCGGATCTCATTATTGATGGAGAATGAGATTGGTCTGGATCAGTCAAAGGGGAAGAGAGATAAAACAGAGGACATGGTCGTTCTTCGCCGGAGCAACAACAACTGCACTGAGATCAAGAAAAATAGCAATGGTTTCTGGAAGGTCAAGAGGTTGTTCGGAAATATGAAGAGAAGGGAAAAGATTCGCTCAGATGTCACAAATGGGTTTTGGTTTGATTCCGACGAGGCAAGGAAGGGCTGGTTTAGAGGTGATTGAGAACAAGGAAGCTTCCCATATCCATGAAGTGTCTTCCCTGCAATATAGAGTGATTCTTTCACTAGTGCCATGGATGAATCAGTGGCATCCTTCATTGACATAAAGCAGGACCTTTCTTCATCACTGAGGAGGCTACACAAGGGTGACATCAGGTAAACTGATTAGGAAGCTTTTGTTTTGCCATATATCAGTAATCTGTTTGTCAAGTTAGCGTGTTTAACGGGCTAATACACATTTGTACTAAATTAACATTGATTTTCCCACTTTATGTACCTCTGAATCATAGTTGCATTATTGTATACTCTTTACTCCACAACTTACAACATTGTGTACTCATGTGACACTTTGATACAAGGTTCCATTCACAAATTTGGGATTTCCCATTCAACAATGAAGAATCGTTCTGATCCATGCTAGAACTGAAAAAATATAGTACCATATAATAGACTAGGAAGACTTTTTGTTAACAACACTGATCCTTCATATTTTACTGAGGCCAATAAACATTTAAAATGGAAAGAAGCTATGGCTGAGGAGTTTAATGCACTAATTTCTAAACGCACTTGGGATCTTGTTCCTTTTGACAATTCTAAGAATATAGTTGGATGTAAATGGATTTATAAAACAAAATATCATTCTGATGGCACAGTGGAGCGACATAAAGCTCGATTAGTAGCTCATGGTTTTAATCAACAGGCTGGTGTCGATTTTTCTGAAATCTTTAGTCCAGTTATTAAACCTACCAATGTGCGTATTGTTCTCACTTTAGCTGTCTCTTTTGGTTGGGTGGTCCGCCAACTTGATGTCAAAAATGCCTTTTTACATGGCCACCTTACTGAAGAAGTTTATATGCGTCAGCCTCGTGGTTTTATTCACCCTCAGTTTCATAATCACATGCGTCGCTTGCGCAAGGCCATCTATGGTCTTAAACAAGCACCACAGACCTGGTTTCATAAATTCAGTAGCTTTCTACTTCAGCATAATTTTTCTAGCACTAAGTCTGATCACTCCTTGTTCATTTATCGCCATAATAATTCTATAATTTACTTATTGTTATATGTAGATGATATTATTATTACCGGTAATTCTGAGACTACTGTTAATCATTTTATCTCTCTCATTTCTCATCATTTTGCCATGAAAGACCTGGGTCACTTACATTATTTTCCAGGCATCGAAGCCTCTCGTACATCTCGTGGTCTTTTTCTTTCTCAACAAAAATATGTTACTTCTTTAACCTTCACTGTTTGCTCGCTTCCATCTCCATACAGTCAAGCCTATTCGTACTCCCCTTGCTTCTTGCACTTCTTTAACCCTCACTGATGGTGAGTTACTGACAGACTCCACTGAGTATCGCTGCATGGTAGGTGCACTACAATATCTAACTTTGACACGACCTGAAATTACTTTTGCAGTACATTTAGTGTCTCAATTTATGCATGCACCTCGTACTACTTATCTTTTTGCAGTCAAGCGTATTTTCAGATATTTACAGGGTACTCTGGATCATGGACTCTGGCTTCAACGATCAGCTACTCCGACGTGCGTTCTTGCATATTCTGATGCTGATTGGCAGGGTGTCCATATACCTCTCGGTCTACCACTGGCTTTGCTGTCTTCTTGGGTCCCAATTTGATTTCTTGAAAGTCTAAGAAGCAACCTACAGTCTCCAAATCTTCCACCGAGGCTGAATACAGAGCTATTGCGTACACTGTTCAGGACACGCTCCATATACGGTCGGTTCTATTTGAGCTCGGGTTCCCTGTCCCAGTACCAGTACATCTTCTCTGTGATAATATTTCTGCCTCTTACTTGACTGCTAATCTTGTTCAACATGCTCGGAGCAAGCACATTCAGATTGACTACCACTTTGTCCGAGAGAGAGTTGCCCATGGTGATCTTTTGGTTCGATATGTCTCTACTCATCTTCAGTTAGGTGATATTTTTACAAAAAGTCTCCCTAATCAGCGTTTTCATTTTTTAAAAGATAACCCGCGCGTTGTATCTCTCGCACAATTTGAGGGTGTGTAATAGACTAGGGTCATTTATGTATTTTAAACATTAATTATTATTATAAATAGATCTGTCAGGACTCCGGATGGAATAACTTGTTCCATTCTCTCACACCATATTGTACTGGATCAATTTTGTTACAAATATAAAACAATATCGGCGCTTCACTATGAACCATTCCAAAACTGTATAACATAGTATATCCTACTAGGGGTGGGCACAAAAGCCCGTAACCGTTTAACCATACCGAAAAACCGGAAAACTGTTATTTTTTTCGGTTAACCGTACCGATTTTAATTAAATCATGGTACGGTTAACCAACCGCAAGAAAAAATGGTACACGGTACGGTTATGATTTTGAAAATAAGATATGGCCGGTTAACCGCTAACCGGTATTTCAAATAATACATGCTTCGTATGTAACCAGTAAGCTAATTTAAGGTCGTTGGTCGTATATTTCAAAAAACACTACCTGGAATCCTAGATACATATGAAACAACTCGCCTACTTTTATTCTGTAATAATTAATAAGATTAGAACTTCATCAATTCTCAAATAACTTTGATACCGGAGTATTAAATAGAAAGTTCAATATTAATCTTATTAATCTAGCTTAAGTCGTACACAAATATAACGGAGTTTATATTTGCTGGAGTTTGTAATATATGTGACTCTGTCAACTTATTGAATTATATTTATAGTAGAATAGACATTGACTTGACTATGAATAAACTATAAAATTTAGATAAATGTGATTGATACCTAAATATGGATAAAGTTTTAGAGAAATGACAGTATTTTATATTTTAGATACGTCATTATTATAGTTTGTAGTATTATAATTATAGTTTGTTGGAGTTTGTATTATACGGAGTAGCATCTTGTTAAGTTTGCAGTATTATAATTATATACGTGGTGTATTATTTTAATTCCTGCATTTTTGGGAAGTTTCTATTCATATTTGATTTTACTGTTAATATTTTGTGGTTTTATGGTTTTTGGTTAACCGCTTTGCGGTTAACCGAAGTTATGGTTAACCGAGTATCGTTTAATCGAAGTGATGGTTAACCGATACTCGATTAAAAAATAGTAACCGGTTTCTCGGTTAACCAAAAGTTGGTTAACCAAAACCCGGTTAACCGATCATGCCCACCCCTATATCCTACCATATATAATACGATAGTATATAGCTAGACCTTAGTTATTAGAGTAACATTGGTTTAGCCCAGGCCCCATCCACTTATGTCGATTCAATATCGGAGTATATCGAATCTTACGAACTATTACCCAGTTAAATATGAAGAATATTCTTAATTATTCAAATTTTCCCTGTTTTGTTATTGACAATTATAATCTTACAGTTTTTAATGATTAATTATGATAAATATTCTTACTTTTGCTCCATTAGTGTTTCAATTTGGAAAAGTATAACTTTTAAAATCGAGCATCTAAATATTGCTTTATAGTTTATACGTTATTTTATTATTGTTGGGATAATGGACCGGGTCTAAGACTATTGGCCTGTTACACCCGAGCTTTGGCCCGACCAAGCTCAGAACACAGTCTGGCTAGCGGGATATTGGTCCGGGATTATTTACTTATTTATCGGACCGGTTGACCCGTTAGCTTCAGGATGTATTATTAATTTGGGCCAAACCCACGTAGATTAGACTTTGGACTTGTGATGGATACCTATAAATAGGTTATCACCCTCATGTATTCTCTACGCTATTTTACTATACTTAAATGGTGCAGTTTCTCTACCCGGGATATTTTCTACCAACATTAGTGCTTTGATCGAGAGACATCTCTCATATTTTTCGGTAGAAAATGGGAGAGATTGGAGCA